CTAACAATTTACATATCTAATAAATCAGAGCCGTTAGATATAAATATTATCAACGGTCAAGATTGTAAAGGTAACTTACACCAGTATAAAATAATCTTATCTCTCTCTCTCTCTCTCTATATATATATATATATATATATATATATATATATATATATATATATATATATGAGGTAGGATCCTTTGACACCGGTGTCAAATTTGAAGTTTGACACCTTATCTGAGAGCCGTTAGATCAAAAAAGATCAATGGTGTCACATGCTTACAAATCAGAGTCGTTGATCTTTTTTGATCTAACGGCTCTCAGATGAGGTGTCAAACTTCAAATTTGACACCGGTGTCAAAGGATCCTGCCCCTCTCTCTCTCTATATATATATATATACTCACTAGTAATGTTATTTAATATGATTTTTTTTTATAAAATTGTCATAAATACCTAACATTCTATATGATTGAAAAGAAAAAAGTATTGTTAAAAAATAAAAAATTCATAAAATACAGTGAAATTTTTTTACTAATTTTTTTTTTTTTTTTTTACTTTCACCAATCACTTTACAAAATACATTTATGTCATTTTTCTTATTGAGTTTTGAATTTAGTTATACGACATTTACAAAGCCTTAACACCGATCTTAATGTATGTAAGTTTTATAAACAGGATTCAGATATTTTATTGTGCCTTCAAATTTGAGACCCATTCACTTCGTATACGTACTTTTTTAACCCCTTTTCAGAGCCGGATTTGCAGCCAGTAGCCAACTAGCCATTTAAGATGAAAGTAGTTCGTCATATTTTTGGCCGTCCTATAAAAAGATTAATGAAAGTGTAGTTGAAAGATATATTTTTGGCCATCCTATAAAAAGATTACATGAAACTGAAAGTGTGTACTCCTGCATATTTCCTCTAACTCTAACTTTTTCTCAGTAAAATTTATTTCATTTTGTTTGATTTAAGTTGTTGAAGCCTTGTAACTTCTCTATCTACAAGGAGAAAAATCTATTCGGTTAATTTATTCATCTATCAAAACTCACAGATGACCGAAGTTTAGAATGGTTAAAGAATATTCTTAATGGAAATTTTAGGCTAACTTTTTGGATGGGTTAGTTACATTTAATTACAGCATGCACAAGTTCTTCAACAAGTAATAATATATCTAGGTATTGGGAAACCTTAAATAAAATGATCTATCGAATATTCGACTTGCATTCCCTATGAAGCACAAGGGGGAAAAAGCAAAAAAACAATAGTAAGACACCCACTAAAAATTGCAAATCTTATTTTACAGGAGAATATAACAAAGAATTCGATGGATGTTTTCAAAATCTTTCCTGATAGCAAAAGCCTAACACGAGCAAATTCGAAGTATGTACACACAACACTTCAGCAAAATACCTAACAAAGTTGCCGCAATTTAAAATAGATCACTACCATCCAATAAGAAGTGTCACATTCAGCATAGAATTGTAAAAGGCCTCTCGAAGTCATTGTAAAACTCGACAGACTGGCAATGGAGTGGGACACAATAAATGTAAGAAATTCCCCATATATATTAAAAGTAAGAACGGAATCGCCAAACCTATATCTCAAGTATTTTTTGGGACAAAATCATGTAAATGTTTCCCCCCATAGTTCTACCCTCTTGCATTATTTATTCAAACAAAAGGATGGGTGAAAGAGGTAATAATGTCCCTGAAGCTAGGCTTGGATAGCTATTCTGAAAGAATGAGACCACTTTCTTGTTGGGTTCTAAGCTAAGGATTGTTGAGATATTCAAGTGTGATGAGTTCAGGTTGATTGGTAATAGGTTAAGTGAAAAATATATAAGAAAACTCAATGCCTTAAGGTTTTGGATTGAGACGTGGTGTTGAATCCACTTGATATAGCTGGTTTAGCTTAACCCATTAGTGGTGGTCTCCAAGTGGTATCAGAGCCGGGTGGGGCTCGAGCTAGCCTAAATATTGGTTAGGAGGCGGGTTAAGTACTTGGGCCCTGGGGTACTCGGTTAAGGGAGAACATATCAATGTTGGATTTCACACTTAAAGGGGAGATTGTTGAAATATTCAAGTGTGATAAGCCCCACATTAGTTGGTAATGGACTAAATGAAGAGTATATAAGTGGAAGAACCCATGAATGGTGAACCCGATGCCTTAAAATTTTGGGTTGAGATGTGGTGTCAGACTCACTTGATGTATTTGATCCACTTAGCCCATTGGTGGAACTTCCTTTGCCACGAGCTTTCTCCTGGACCCTCCTGACAGTGGTATCAGAGCCGAGTTGACTAGAAAGCGGGTTGAGTACTTGGGCCCTGGATACTCGGTTGAAGGGGAGCATATCAATGTTGGGTTTCACACTTGAGTGGAAAATTGTTGAGATATTCAAGTGTGATGAGTCTCACATTGGTTGGTAATGAGTTAAGTGAAAAGTATATAAGCAGAGACCTTTGAATAAGGGCTCAAACTCCTTACCATATGTGACAAAGGTGTTTGGTAGCGATAGGTATTTATGTATTAGTCCCACGATTGATGATTTAAAAGTGAGAATTGTTATTTTATCATAATGACTTCTGATAAGAATTTATAAAAAATAATCATAGTCAATAGAATGCTTTTATGTTACATTTTTCTTTTAGGTTAGGTGGTCAACTAATTTGAACTTGTAACTTCTAAATTGACCCACCATTAAAATTAATGGCAAAACGATCGTAGTAGCAAATCTTGAAAAGAGTTGCCCATTTAATATGCATCGGAAAACTTATTCCAATATAATGCAGTCAAACGCACAATCAAAGCATACGTCACCAGTCCCATATATGACTAATATGGTATTTACTGCCACGTCATCGATCCTGCATCTAACCAATAGAATACTGTGCTGCACCTAGAACACTATATATGCTAGCTATTTCATTTTTTCATTCAGAAAACAAGTCTAGCACGGTTTTGATGCGAGACTTTCCTAACGTGGTAGAAAGTGACACACAGCTCAGATGTGGGACTAATGATGTGCCAATGTATACCATATTAGTTAAATGCGGGATTGGTGACGCATGTTTTGACTGCATATTTGACTACATTAGATTGAAAAATCTTTTTCAAAACACATTAACTGAACAATTCTTTCCAAGATTTGCTCTAGTAGGGATGTTTTGCCTTAAATTAATTTGTTATGATCGTTTATGTTCTATTTTGCTTTGTCCTTGTAATTGTCCATAGTTATGAGAATATCCAATTTTTTATCAACATTGTTTACCAAAATATATATTTAAAAGATAGGATATACTTACAACTTAAAATTTTTACAAACTTTTATTATTAAATCTTAATCGTTGATTTTCGCCAATCTAACGATTATAATTTATTGAATAATATTCATTAATTAATTATTAATTTTTAATAAATTATAACGGTTAGATTGACAAAAATTAACTATTAAATTTAATGATAAAAAATTATAAAATTTATAAGTTGTAAGTATATTCCCTTTTCAATCTTAAAAAGAAAAGGATATTCCTTCTTTATGTTTAAATAAATAAATTGTTTTCTTACAGTCGTATCTCACATAACATAAAAAGACAACTAACCGTTACATCTTTGTACTCTTTGCCTATTTCCACATCTTCACATTCTTGATGAGTGTCGCTATCGGCAGAACAATCAAATATTCAGTAAATTATGCCACTATTATCAATTAAATGCAGCAGTTGCCCACTTTCCTTCCGTATAAAACGTCGTTAACTATTACTCCCACAGTACTTCTCTTAAAGTAATTTTTAATTTCATCTACAATTACATGTTTTAATTAAATACTGCAATACATTAAAAAAGCTATTATTTAATTTTAATGCGTTATTATATTTTAGAAATAAGTAAATCTTAAACAAACTATGTTAAAAGTAAATTTTTTGATGTTTAGTGTTTGTTCTTTTAAATGATATAGAGTTATGTCATTTTAAGTGAGAAAAAAACACAAACAATAAAAATCCGGGGTGAAAAAGTGGGTGATTTTTTTTAAATTTAAAATTTAATAAAAAATATTAAGTTTAAAATGATACAATTCTATATCTTTTGGAAAGACAAATATTTTTTTTCATTTTTTTAATAATGTAATAATATATAATTAAATTACTATGTACAAAAAATTATACTAAATTAAAATTAAACTTTGACTAATTCCATTTTATACGGAAGGAAAGTGGGCAACTTTTGTTGTCTGATGTAACTTTGGCTAGTTCCGTTTTGAACTTGATCTTGTCCTAATTTAGTTTTCTTGTCATGCATGGTCCCCTCATCAATAAAAAAAAAGAGAAAAGTTAACCCACGTCCCCCTAGTTCAGAATCATTTAGGTTCTTGTGATTTCTTTTATCATATATGCTCTTGTGCTTTGTAAAAAAAAATAAAAAATCATAGGGACATATGTGATAAAAATATATCCTTTTGCAAACCACATGGATATATGTGATAGAAAAAAACTACAAGAGCATAAGTGATTCTGAAGCAAAACACATGGACATTGATGAACTTTTCCCTAAAAAAAAAAATATGGAAAAAATATTTATGTTTTTGAATGTAGTTATTTTAATTAAACTTGTTATTGTTTATTTAATATTTAAATTAAAAGAAAATTTTCATTTTTTTAATCATAAATTTCTATTTCTCTTATTATAAAATTATCTTTTTATTAAAATGACATAATTTTATATCTTCTAAAAAAATATTAATTTCAAAAAATAAATATAAAAATCAACCTTTTTTTCAAAGAAGACTGCACTTTATTGAATTGTTAAATAGAACGCTCATATTAAATTGTTAAAAGTATCTTACTCTCAATTTAAACTACACTTAAAGTAGAAGAAATCAATCATTGACAGAAACTTGAAAACGCTCATATGAAGTGTTGGTGAATGAATATTTACCGTGTGATATTTTCAGACACGCGTTAGGGGGCGATATTTTCAAACTTGGAATCCCTTCTCCGTTGGGGGCGATTCAGATCCTACAGTTGCTAATTTTGAACGGTTGACGAAGAGAACACGTAGCCCAGCAGCATCTGAATTACCCCAAGCAACGGAACCGAACTCTTGTCGACAACATGTGAAGAACGACGCTTCAACAGAACGTTGCTTTCAGTTCAGACCTCAACGAAACGCAAAAATCACCGCCAAAAAAAAAAAAAACAAAGGCTCATTCAAAACTTGATTTGATATTTCCTCCATTCCCCCTACACCTCCGCCGCACTGTAGCATTACCCCTCGCACGATGGATTGCGCGTCGACTCGCTGCTGAAACGGACGGGTCTGACTCGGAGGGATCGCCGAGTCCCTTTCGAGTTTCTCGGTGATGAGAGGGAGCTGCTGCTTGAAACGTCGCGTAGAGCAGAGGTTCCGGTTACTCGCGATCTCCACCGTTAAATCAGCGAGGATCAATCATCTTCTGCTCTTCTGCTGCATTGCCTTGACGCTCATCGTCCTCGCCACTACTGCTTCCACCGTCATCGTATCCACCAACCACGCTCCTCCTCCGCGTCACTTTCCTCTTTCGAGGTATTTTCGTTTTAATCCGTGGATTCATTGCTTAATATATGTTCCACGAACTTAATCGAAAATATATATGTATAGCTTGCTCTGCGTTATTAAGATTAGTTCAGTTTTGGTAAGAGATTTTATTTTTGGTTAGATTTACCAATGAGAAATATAGAAACTTTCCATTCTGTTGATTTTTCCCCCTCTTTTCATCTTGTTTCTTTCCTTTTTTTGTTTTTAATAATTCTTTAGGGAGGGGGATGAATAAGTTGGAGGCGAGATTTTTATTTTATTTTATTTTATTTTATTTTTTTGAAAATAATGCAATAATTGATAGCCAGAAGTTGATATTTGGATGAGTTTCTAATATGTTTTTGCTGTTCGTGCGTCTAATTTTGGAATTATGGGACGGAATTACCGGTTTTAGAGACAGGGAGATATTGTGTGGAATAGAAGTAGATGATTACCTGGCTTTAAAGGTTAGTAAAGTTATAATTGCTAACAAAATGAAGTTATTTCTTCTATGTATCATTTACTACTTATGTGTTATGAGTTCATTGTAGAGAGAAAAAGATTCTGCTAGTGTGGGGTAAGTAAGGAGTGTTTCGAGTTAGACAGCTTGTTTCAGAACCATTCCATGGGCTTAGATACCTGAACAAGTTTTTGGTGCTTGGAAATTGATATTTGGGAATTTAAGTTTCTGATCTCACTATTATTGCGTTTGTTCATTACTCATCTACTAGAATTGGGATTCATATTCTACCAAAAATTAAAAAAAAGAAAAGAATTCAGATTCATAAATAGGTAGATGACATTTTAATTTTATGGCTGATGGGATTCATCAATCATTGATGGGCTTTCTAAGTAATCTTACCTTCCACATTAAAAGCATATAAATAAAAATGCATATATTGGGGTTTGGATGGTTTATATTATTAACCTAGTTCATGCCTTTGAGTGTAGTGTAGTAGGACTGAACATTGGACTCTGAATTAAGGATGATGACGGTACCTTCCAACTGTTAGGAATTTTTTTGGTGTCCAATGTTTATATTAAATCCTTCAGTGATAGCATTTGTAGGTTTTCAAAAACTGACTCTGCACTGTGCTTGCTTCCTGGCATAATTGCCTCAGAAATCACTCTAGGTAGAGATTATATATTCTACCATTTAGCAGGCCTTCCCCCTCCCCTTTTCATATTGGAAAAAAACAAAAAGAGTGGGATAAAGGTAAGTTTTTTCATACTAAATTTAATTTTCTTTAGGGACCATTTGAGTATATTTTGCTTCTAAAATCAAAGGATTCATTTCATTTTATATTTTGTTCACAGGAAAGGATATTCTATCGTAATGAACACATGGAAGAGATATGATCTCCTAAAGCAGTCCCTAATGCATTATTCATCATGTCCTCGACTTGAATCAGTACACATTGTGTGGAGTGAACCCAATCCTCCCTCAGATTTTCTTTCTAAATTTCTACACCACGTAATAGAGTCTAAGTCTACAGATGGTCGACAGGTCAAATTGAAGTTTGATATCAACAAGGAAGACAGTTTGAATAATAGATTTAAAGAAATTAAGGATTTGGACACAGATGCAGTCTTTTCCATTGATGATGATGTCATATTTCCTTGCTCTTCAGTGGAATTTGCATTTGATGTTTGGCAAAGTGCACCAGATACAATGGTGGGATTTGTACCTCGTGGCCATTGGGTGGATTCATCGGTATGTTTTTATCTAGTTTGTTTGTTCTCCTATACATCTGGACGTGAACTTTCTGAGCTTAATCCTTGGCATGAAGAATATCCCAAACTTCTTAATGCTAATATTTCAAATTATTCAATGTTCTTGCAGGAAGGTAATGGTGACAAATTTAGATATGGGGGATGGTGGTCCGTGTGGTGGACAGGTACATATAGCATGGTGCTTTCCAAGGCAGCATTCTTCCACAAAAAGTATTTCAGTCTCTACACAAAGCAGATGCCAGCATCAATAAGAGAATATGTAACCAAGAATAGGTTATTCTCTTGACTAACTAATCACTCACTGCCTTCCTGTTTATCAGATTTCAACATTCTAAACTATGTGATTCCAACTTATTTTTGTTATCTGCTTAATAATTCAATTGATTTACCAGGAACTGTGAAGATATTGCAATGTCTTTCCTTGTTGCAAATGCTACTGATGCACCCCCAATATGGGTTAAAGGTAATTAACATCAGAAACAGAGAGCATATAATTTTCGTTGAGGTCCCCCCCCTCCCCCCCTTTCCCCTTCTATGTGACATTTGTAACATTGATATTGTTGTTGGGGAGCCAATAGATGATATACGACGTTATAATATCTATAAATGTCTCGTAATATATCAATTGTATCTTAGTGTAATTTAAAGTATCTTAGGTTATCTCTTAAGAGTGATTTTTGTATTTTATTCTATTTTATAATTTATTTCCTTTCTTAATTAGGATCAAATGGAGAGTCTAGACTCTAGATATTGTACACTGGGGTCGGTGCTTTATATTTTGTATCACATCCTTTCCACTAATATTAATATAATTTTAGTATTACGAATATCGCTTTTCTATGTGTTCCTCCTTCCCAACCTAAAACCTGATAATATGGGAATGTTCTGTATTTCAAAATAAACTGACAAAAATGCAGATATTTTATTTCTACTGATTATAATCCCAGGAGCAGTGCTGTTAATTTTTGAAATTGTTCTATAATTATCAAGCCAGTCCGAATGCTCAAGTAATCAATACAATGATAAATCGCTGTTTATGGGGTTAACTTAACTGATAGTGAAGTTCTATTTGCTTGTTTTATACTTCCAATTTATAGTAATACATATTGTACATTAACAATTTTGATTCTCGTTTCTAGAGACTTAAACCACCATGTTGATATATGCCACTCCTACATAGACACATGCATGTGTCAACTTCATTGATTCTTTCGTGGTTACAGGTAAAATATTTGAGATTGGATCCACTGGAATCAGCAGCTTGGGAGGTCACAGTGAAAGAAGAACAGAGTGTGTCAACAGATTTACTGCTGTATATGGACGGATGCCCTTGGTATCTACTTCAGTGAAGGCTGTTGATAGTCGCAACATCTGGTTTTGGTGACTGCTGGATTTTTATTTTATTTGCAGTTTTAGAAATTCCACTATCGGCTCCAAAAAGGGAAGAAAAAAAAAAGTAAAGAAATTCCACTATCTTCAATTAGCTAGTGTAGTTACCCAATTCTTGTTAGGTACAGAGCTGTATAATATTGAATCGCATGCAAAATTCATGCATTTTGGTGGGGAAGAGTTAACTAGCCACATCTCCTACATTATATATTGTATTCTTTCACATGTAATATGTTAGATATGATTAAATATGATTAGATATGATTAGTCTGTAATTATTCTGATTATATTCTGATTGTATTAGGTCTGGGCCTTTCCTATAAGCCCATTAGAGTCTTTATATATTGTAACTCTCTGAATTAGATCAATACACAACATATTATTTTATATTCAAGTTGGTATCAGAGCTCTTTCGTTCTGGGGACCCTCGCTTCCGCTTAGAAACCTTGTTTTCGCCTTAAAACCTAAGCCCACTGCTTAGGAGTCATCCTTTCTTTGCCGTGCATCCTTCCGGCAAGACAACAAGGACAGTAAGTCCCTTTCGAGCAATTTCCGAACGCGTCAGCACCTCCGACGGTCACCGGAACCACCATCCGCCACGTCAGCCACTGTTCAGGCCGCCAGAGCACTTTTCCGGCGAGTTTTCAGCTCGATCAGCACGCGATCAGAACCCCCTTCCTCCGGCGACCTACTCTGCAGAAGGCCCATCACCGGCGGCCAAGTCACGCGCCCTCACGCGCGGCTGAGCTTCTCTGCGCGTGGTCCTCACGTGCCGCCTCTCACCGGCGCGTGAGCACTGTTCCAGTGGCTTTTTCCGGCCACTCCAAGACAGAACAACTCGCCTTCCTCCCCTCTTCTTCGATCTGGTCTTCATTCGTTGTGTGTCTCATCCGTTCAGAAGATATCAGTGATTCTTTGCTTTCCGGTCATTGTTTCAAGTGCTGTGCATTCTTAATTTTTGATATCAGTGATAACCCACGGTTCATCGTCATTGTTCATAGTGCTGGAATTTCCTATTTGAGTCTGTTTTATTTTTATTTGGTAATCTGTGTTTATTTGGTCCTTTTATTTGTTTCTGGTCATCTTTATTTAAGTTTTTTTATGGAGGGCACATCCAAAAATAGTACTAGAGTCATCTCAAGTACTACCCCATCCATTACAACAATGAAACTGACCGGATCTGCTACTTACAAGACCTGGTCTACCTCAGTTAAGATCTGGTTTACTGGTCAGGGGCACGGTCCACATCTCACAACTAAGTCTGTCGATATTTCAAAAGACCAGACATCTGAATGGGACAAGATTGATGTTCAACTGCTAAGTATCCTTTGGCAGTCCATTGATCGGACGATTATAGACATTTTCATCTCCTTTGAGACCTACTATGACGTATGGGAGGAAGCTAAAAACCTCTACACCAATGACATTCAGCAGCTTTATTCAATTGTGTCTCAGATAATGGAATTGCGCAAATCTCCAGAGTCTCGAATGGAAACTTATATTGGTAAGATACGTTCTTTGATGCAAGAATTCTTGGCTATGTTAGCTCATGCTGCATATGCCTCTGCGTACAAGAAGCAGGTGGAGCGCTTCTTTATGGTCATAACTCTCTCCGGTCTTTCAGAGGAGTTAGAAAGTGTTCGTGAGAATATTCTAACCAGTGCTGAGACTCCTAGCGTGTCACACACTTTCCAACGCCTTCTGAATCTTAAGGACAAACCAACAGCTCCCACACATGTGCCAGCTACCGATTCAACTGCATTCTTTTCTCGCTCCAATGATTCTTGGAACAGTGGACGCGGTCGCGGACGTGGCCGTGGACAGGGTGGCCGCGGACAGAGGCCTCGTTGCAATTATTGTCAGAATCTTGGACATTTTGAAGAACGCTGCTACAGGAAGTACCCTCACTTGAAACCACCGACTGCCAACTTTGCTCAGACTGATGTTACACCACCTCCTACTGGATCAGTAACTCTTTCCAGTGCCGAATATGAGGCACTTCTCAAGAAGGTTTCCTCTCAGCATCCTACTCAAGACACTAGTAATCATGTTGCTTGCCTTTCTCAATCATCTCTTGGACCCTGGATAATAGACTCAGGTGCTACTCATCACCTTTGTGGTAATAAGAATCTTTTCACTTCCCTTTCATATTCTAATAATTTACCCTCTGTTACTCTTGCTGATGGTACTAAGGCTCCTGCTCATGGAATTGGGGAAGCCAACCCAACTCCCTTTTTAGCTTTGACCTCTGTTTATTATATACCCGGCATTCCTTTTAATTTAATCTCTGTTAGCCAGTTGATTCAGTCTCTTTCATGTATTGTTACCTTCTCTAGACAATCCTTCTCTATGAAGGATCCGGGTAAGGGGAAGACGATTGGAGCGGGCATTCAGTCACAAGGTCTTTATTATCTGATTGCACCACCTTCTCCAGTAGCATGTTCTCTCACAGAGTCTCCTGAGCTAATTCACAGTCGTCTGGGTCATCCAAGCCTCTCCAAGCTTCAGCATATGGTTCCGTTTTTGTCTAGTCTCAAGTCTTTAAATTGTCAGTCTTGTCAGCAAGGAAATCACACTCGCTCCTCCTTTGCTAATAGATTCAATAAACGAGCTGATGCTCCTTTTTTTATTGTTCATTCTGACATTTGGGGTCCGAGTCGAACAATGTCTGTTTTGGATTTTCAGTATTTTGTCACCTTTATTGATGATTTCTCTCGTTGTACTTGGGTTTATTTAATGAAAAATCGTTATGAATTATTTTCAATTTATCAAAAAATTTGTGCTGAAATAACTACTCAATTTGGTGCTTCTATTCAAATCTTGCGCAGTGATAATGCAAGAGAATATGTGTCTTTTGAATTTTCTAATTTTTTGGAGAAACGTGGAACGATACACCAGACCACTTGCCCACACACTCCACAACAAAATGGAGTGGCCGAACGTAAAAATAGACATCTGGTTGAAACTGCACGTACCCTACTAATTCACATGAATGTTCCACTCCGTTTTTGGGCAGATGCTATAATCACCTCTTGCTTTCTCATCAATCGCATGCCTTCTTCCGTACTTAATAATGAAGTTCCACATAGTGTTTTATTTCCAGGAGCATCTTCTTATCCTCTACCTCCACATGTATTTGGATGTACATGCTTTGTTCATGATCTTACTCCAGGTAAAGATAACTTAACATCCAAAGCTTTCAAGTGTGTTTTCGTTGGATACACTCGTTTTCAAAAGGGGTATCGTTGCTACTCTCCTGATCTCAAGCGTTATATTGTTTCAGCTGATATCACTTTCCTTGATCAACAACTTTTTCATTCTATCTCGTCTCAGATAACACAGGTTGATCATGTTCTTCCTGTTCCTTGTCTTGATTTGTCTTTACCAGTTGCAGGTGACTCTATCCCGGAGGAGCTACCCCTTGGCTCCATCCCTGAGGACCGTCCTTTTCTCACCTATCAGCGTCGTCAGCCTGCGCCTCCAGCAGATTTGACTCTTACTGAATCACCGCCTGCTCTAGTCGACTCTTCCCCTCCGGATCCTCCATCAGAGATTACTCCCATTGCCCTTCGCAAAGGTATTCGATCCACTCGCAACCCTCATCCACTTTATAGTTTCTTGAGTTATGATAGACTTTCTTCACCACATTTTACTTTTGTTTCTAGTATTTCGTCTGTTTCTATTCCTAAAATCACAGGTGAAGCACTATCTCATCCGGGTTGGCGTCAGGCGATGATTGATGAAATGCAAGCACTTCACTCCAATGGCACCTGGGATCTTGTTCCTACTCCTCCCGGAAAGTCAGTAGTCGGCCGTCAATGGGTATTCACTGTCAAAGTTGGTCCTGATGGCACTGTTGATCGCCTCAAAGCTCGTTTGGTGGCCAAACGATACACTCAGATATTTGGTCTTGACTATGGGGATACTTTTTCTCCTGCTGCCAAGATGGCATCCGTCCGCCTATTTCTTGCCCTTGCTGTTGTTCGTCACTGGCCACTCCTTCAACTTGACATCAAAAATGCCTTTCTTCATGGTGATTTGCAAGAAGAAGTTTACATGGAGCAACCACCTGGTTTTGTTGCTCAGGGGGAGTCTGGACAAGTGTTCCGTCTTCAAAAATTCTTATATGGTCTCAAGCAGTCTCCTCGAGCATGGTTCAGTCGCTTCAGTTCTGCCGTTCAGGCGTTCGGCTTAATCCGCAGTAAAGTTGATCATTCTGTATTTTATAGGATTACATCTCCTGATAAGTGCATCTATTTGTTAGTCTATGTTGATGACATCATTCTCTCCGGAAGTGATCAAGACGGAATTCGTCAGATAAAACAACATTTATTCAGTGCATTTCAAACAAAGGACCTTGGGAAGCTGCGTTACTTCTTGGGAATTGAGGTGGCGCAATCTAGACAGGGCATTTCTATTTGTCAAAGGAAGTATGCCTTGGATATCCTCGAAGAAACTGGTATGTTGGGGAGTAAACCAGTTGATACACCCATGGATCCTAATGTCAAGTTATTGCCCGGACAGGGGGAGCCGTTATCTGATCCTGGACGTTATCGGAGGTTAATTGGGAAGCTCAATTATCTTACTGTGACTAGGCCAGATATTTCTTTCGCTGTTAGTACGGCTAGTCAGTTCCTTGATTCCCCTTGTGATTCACATTGGGATGCTGCTGTGAGGATCCTCCGATACATCAAAGGAGCACCAGGAAAAGGTTTGTTATATTCAGATCAGGAAAATACAGAAATTTGTGGTTATTCAGATGCTGATTGGGCAGGATCACCCTCGGACAGGCGCTCTACTTCCGGCTATTGTGTCTTCTTTGGAGAAAACTTAATTTCGTGGAAGAGCAAGAAACAACTTGTAGTTGCTCGGTCTAGTGCAGAAGCTGAGTATCGTGCAATGGAAAATACTACCTGTGAGTTAATCTGGTTAAAACAGTTGATTCAGGAACTTAATCTTTGTGAACAGAAACAACCCATGACACTCATCTGTGATAATCAAGCTGCGCTACATATATCCTCTAATCCTGTCTTTCATGAGAGGACCAAACATATAGAGATTGATTGTCACTTCATTCGAGAAAAGATTCAATCAGGAGAAATCAAGACTGCTTTCGTCAACTCCTCTGATCAACTCGTGGATGTCTTCACTAAAGCTCTTAGAGGTCCTCGGGTTCAATCCATTTGTAACAAGCTTGGTGCTCACAATATATACGCACCAGCTTGAGGGGAAGTGTTAGATATGATTAGTCTGATTAGATATGATT